GAGTTGGGGGCCAACTTGATGGCCACTAACAAATATAACCAACCAATATAAAGAAGCTCCACAATGAGGTACCACTTAACACCCACTTGTATGGCTGTGGAGCCCTGGTGGCACAGTGGTTAAGACTCTGGCTGCTAACCAAAAGGTCAGCAGTTCGAATCCACCAGCCACTCCTTGGAAACCCTATGGGGCAGTTCCGCTCTGGCCTATAGAGTTACTATGAGTCGGAACTGACTTGACGGCAACGGTTTGATTTTTTGATTTTTAGGATGGCTATTAAAAAAAAAAAAAAAAGATGCACAGAAAAATTTTGTGTTGATGAGGATATGGAGAAACTGAGTCCTCACACATTACTGGTTGGAAAGTAAATGGTACAGCCACTGTGGAAAACAGTTTGATGGTTCCTCAAAAAGTTATGACCTAAAAGAACTGAAAACAGATACTCAAATGCTTGTACACAAATGTTCATAGCAGCACTACTCACAAGAGCCAAAGGGTGAAAACAATCCAAATGTCCATGAATGAATGAATAAATAAAACATGGGATATTCATACAATGGAATATTATTCAGCCATAAAAAGGAATGAAGTACTGACACATGCCACAATATGGATGAACCCTGAAAACATTATTTTAAGTGAGATGATCCCATGTGTATATGAAATACCTAGAAAAGGCAAATCCAGAGAGACAGAAAGCAAACTGGTGGTTGCCAGGAACTGGGGGGAGATGGTAATGGGGTGATTGTTTAATGAATATTAGGTTTTCTTCTGGAGTGATGAAAGTATTCTGGAGCTTGGTAGAAGTGGTGGTTGTACAACACTTAATGTGCTAACCACCAGTGAACTGTACACTTTAAAAAGGTTTATGTTATGTTATGTGAATTTCACCTCAATAAAAAAAAAATCTGCAACTAGGAGCACTTCTTCAGAATTCTTCCATGTGTGGCAAACAAGCTCTGTGCTCATCCGTCACGTGTACCACACACAGGACTGTCTCAGTTCTAGATCACTGACAGTCAAATACTATGATCTGAATGAAAATAACTGATATGTTAAGGTGATAAAACTACAGGTACCTGATCCTTTTTCTCTTCAATGTTTTCACATATAGGTTTGTCTCTCTCTCTCACACTCTTCCACATGCTCCGATCACTCTGACAGAACATACCCACATTATGCTTCATTCAAACTGACAAGACAGGAACTTGGTCCAATCCACTCAGACTATTGCTTATGAGCATCTAGCAGTGACTTGGGGTAAGTCACTTCTGTCAACCAGAAACCAGCCTTCCCTTTGTCTAAGAACTGATGTCTGGAGGCTTTTCTGGTATCTTGGGCCTTTATCTTTTAAAAACAACCTTCTTCTATATCCTCCACATTCCTTAACCTCACCTTTGGGCTATTTCTGCTTCCTTCTGCATGCCTTCTTTCCCATTTCTAGGTTTTCCTGTGTACATTACAAACAGATTTCCAACAGCTCTCCTTCTAGGCTGCCACAGTTTAAGGGAAAGGCAGTAGGCCAATGCCAACCGTGATGTCCAGAAGCAAAAACAGATGGTAAAAAAATTAACATCTCAAAATGAATCACGATTCTACTTTAAGGAAAAAAGAAAAGTAGCACAAAGGAGAAAACCCACAGAAGTTTCTATCAAATATCCTGTCACCTTTCTGTACTAACATATTCTTTACAACCAAAATTAAATCAGATTTGTTAAGCTACTTTTAATGTAAACTTAAAAAACTTTTCTTTTATAGAAAAAGGTTACCTCAAGTGATTGATTTCACTCATAGAACAAACATTTATTGAGGAACAAATAGGTTCCTGGTGCTGTAGGAGCACTCAGAGAGCACAAAGTCTAGCTGGCTTTTTGAGAGACCTGCTTGAGGCATCATGGTGTTCAGAAACTGCCTGTGAGTTTGGTAATTCTCTTATAATTTTAATAAATATCTGATGTTATTAGGAGCATTTTTATTTTTTTTCTTGGTCTACTTCAATTTAAACACAATGATTTCAGATATCCCCCTTACTTACAACACTTCTCCCGTTCTATTCTAACTCCTTGATGCTGACGTTTCTCCCCCACTATAGTGTGATCCCTTTGAGGGGAGGGCACGCATTGCTCATCTCTCTCTGTACACCTCCTCACTGGCATAGGTTTTGTTGACGTCTCCACTTGTGGTCTCCAGCACCTCCCTCCCACACCCTCTATCTCTTCGTCTTTCTTCACACACCTGACTGTCTGCTCTAGGCTGGCTGTTCCCCATTTAAAAACACATTTCTCTTCTTCGATTGCAGTCTCCTTTTACCAAAGGCTTTACAGCCTGCCAGGAAGTGTGTGGGCTTTCCTTAATCTACATTATGTACAATTACTTGGTTTGATTTTATGTTCACCTATGCTGTTTATGCTAGAATATGATTTCCTTGAGGGCAGAAACATAATCTCTTTCTATTCCCTAACTCCCTCTTCCTACAACAGTGTAAAGTCTAAATCATCCTGGGTCTGAATTATCACATTTCTTCTCTCAAAGTCCAGGAGCCACTAAAAAATCTAACATAAAATTTTCACATGAAAGAGAAAAAAAGGTATGTATGCTACAAAAAGGAAAATATAAACTAAAAAATAAAAATAAGGATTAACAAATTAAACTACTACTAGAACTTTGGGAAGGAAAGGCTACCAATCAAATACATTTCCAAAAAGTAAGAATTCCACATATTTATACATAGAAGACAATAAAAAACATTTAATCATTCTAACGTGGCAGTTTTAAAACAAGGACTGGCTGTGTTAAAAAAAACGGAATGTTATAAAGGTAGGTATACCTTATGTACTGCCCCCATCAATAACAGACTTATAGAGGATTTGGGGAAAATAATGTAATTTAAAACGACACTTTTTTGTCAGCCCAATTCTTTGATTTTATAAGCAGAAAGGAAAAAATCTCTGTGGGAGAATGGATATGTCTCTGCAAAAATGAGGGGGGAAAAAAAACTATGGGTGGCCTTAGAGTTCATAGTATTAATGCATCTTTCATGTGGCATATACTTAGAAGTTTTACCATCCCCATATAATGGAATAAGACCAGAATAATGTGGGATGTTCAGAGAAACACCTTAGATTCTGGAAGGAAACTGTTCACATTTTAAAAAGGATGGATAAAGCTACCTTTCAACATATTCTCTTGTATCTAGTTGTGTGTTTTAAAATGCAGGAAATTTAGCTCCATTTTTACAATGAATGAATTTGTTCAAGTGGCTGAGAGACATGAATTCGGATGGAGAACCTTTAATTCAGAATCTTCACTTTCCAGTGGTGGGACCTTCCTGTTCTGCTTTGTAAGCAATGAAATTCCAACACCCAGATGAGTTCAGAAATGGAGGCTGGAAAGCTACAGAACAGACCCAAATTTGATTCCTTTCTCTGTCTTAATGATCTTCTGTGGCATCCAACAGACAACTGGTTCCATAGAAACCAGAATGATTCCTCAAGAAACGTACAGAGAGAAGTGTGACTGTGGGGAGGGGAAACAGAGCAAAGAGTTAACCGACTCTATCAGCCCAATCTTCTTCTCAAAGATTCTGTCCTCTATGGTAGCCTGCCACGTTCCACCCAACAGCTGCTCATGATAATCAATGTCTGACAGATCAGAGAAAGCCCTTAATGTGTCGCCAAGGGGCAGTTCAACAGATGGCATGGTGACTTACAACCAGAATCATTAATTACACTGTCTTATTAGTCCCGGGGCACAGTGCTGAAAATGCTTCCTCAGCGAAAGATGAGCATTTCAGATAAATGACCGTCTGGTACTGCCTGTGAAACTCCCTTTAGGATTTCTGGTCAGTGCTGACTTCTAAAGCCACGACATACTATTTTGACAGCCGTTTCCCATCTTCCATATTCAAGCTGGCTAGCAATATGAAGTTCCCACTACCACTACCCATCATGGCTCTCACAACCACTGCAGGTAAGGGTAAAAAGTGCCGATCACTCATTTCCCCCCTCAAGTCAGATGTGTGAAAGGCAAACACAATCTCAGTCACTAGGGCTAGAAGCTCAATTTTTCCTCCCTCTGTGCCAGAGAACGGGTATTTCCATAGTGCAGGGAGGCGGGGGGGACCATACCCCCCCATCTATGCCAAGTGGAATTTAAGAGGTTTTCCTTGTAATGCAATGTGATTGATTCTCCAACTCAAAACTGGCCTCCCTTAACAAAACCAGTGCAGCAAACTCTTTTCCACACCTTTTAAAAAGAGAAGAATAGGCACTCCTGAAAAGGAAGCCTAGCAGCTTAGGGTAAGCAAGGTTTCCCAAAGGCCCGCACTTCTGGCTGTCATCCCAAGGGATGAAGCATTGAGGTTAAACCACGATGTACTTAATTAAGAAGCCAAACAAGTACATAGCAAGGAACTGTTTTCGAACCTCCTCCCAAGGACACTCAGACTAATGTCCTCACTCAGGGTAGAAGGGAGTTCCTTCTCCACAGTTTGAGAACACGGCTCCATAAACATTACTGTGAAATTTTAGAACTGACTACAGACAGAGCTTGGAGACTGCCTACTTACTGGCCTTAGTATGGATACAAGTCAGAAATAAACCTCAATATGACCCAAAGAAAGAAATTTTTAAGCACGTCCCAAATACTACCAAATAAACGTTCTTTGGTTTTGCTTACCTCCTCTATTCTTTCTGTACTTCAATTTATAATTTTTTTAAAAAATTTAAGTTCAAACTAAAGTGATATTTAGATTTTAAATGCTATGATTAAGAGTTCTCTGTTTGTTTCCTGCAATCCAATCTGTTCTTTCCTGGACACATAAAAATGTAACTTCAATTTTCAAGTAGGCTCAAATAATTATGGAGTCTAATAAATGTTCCCATTTCATGAATTTTTAAAAAAGACAAAAATGTGTTAATGAAGGCATTATAAAAATCTCCTAATGTGGGCTACAGGAAGGAAAACTAGGGAACTCTGGGTCTGCCTTGCAAAATACTCACTTCTAGTTTTTTCTCCTTTTCTGACAAAACATCTTTCTGGTTCTGGGTATACTCCACCAACATCCGAGCCAGCTGGCGCCGGTCTTCCAGTTCTGCCGCCAGACGCCCATTATATTCTGCTAGTAACAGACATGCTTCATCCACTGTTTTTGAAAGACGTTCAGCTGCCTCTTTGTCTACGTACAAATGGATCAAAAAAATAGAGACAATATACAAATTACATAGGCACAATTACAAACATTTCTAGGGGAAGGTTAACAGTTTCTCTCCCAGAGTCCAAGAATAAGCCAGAACCTTTGAACAATTGATTGGCTGACTGAGAAATCCAAAGGCACTCGCTCCCATCAACAAGATAGGACATTTCTGAATTACCTGAAGTGAGGCAATTAGACAGGGAGGGGAATCTGGCAAAGGATTTCTAAATGCCTATTCCTGTAAAAGTTTCACAAATAAAACAAGCAGAAAGAGACATTTAAAATCATGCTTGAAATGATTTTTCCTTGCCTCTGAGATTTCCAAAGTGCTTTTGTTTATATAATTTTGTTAAGTGTTCTTTTGCACATTCTTCTTAAGTAAGAAAGGAAGCACTCGTCTCTTAAGTGTGAAAACGCATATGGGTTCGGTATCATTGTTAGCTGAGGAGGTGGGACTCAAAAGCAGGTTTCTAATATGAACGTATAGGACTCCACCTCTTAAACCATAAACCCTGAGCCTGGATGTAATGAGCTCTCTCCTGTATTGTGCAAAACACAGAGTCTGATAAAGACAGAGGCTTTCAAATTCCTTTGAACATGACCCAAAGAAAGAAATACACTTTTTGACACGTATATAAGAAAAAAAGAAACAGAAGTTTCATAAAACAATACCTACCCTTACTATGTGCAAAAGGTTCTAACTACTATCCTATTACATTTTTAAAAAATGTTGGTCATTACCTCCCAGACTGATTTCCTGACCAATTAACAAGTTGCAACTATTGGCTTAGGGAAAAAAAGAAAAAAAAAAAACTATGCTGAAGTCTCTTAGTATGAGAAAGGATATTCTTAGAAGTAGTGAGCAAAGGCTCAACACATTAGGAAGTGAGAGGAAGAAACAAAAGGAAAAAGTAGGAGGATGTGTATTTGTATTTATAAAGAACTGGGTGATGGTGATATTAGAACTTTAAATATATAGATCTCTCTGTTTTTTTTTTAAAGGCCTGTAAAGATCAAAACAGTAGGGTAGTACTTTGAAACAAAGAACACCAGAGACTCCAGTGTCTTATGGAACAACCTAAAAGGGAGTTACATAGTGATGCAGATACACTGGTCCCTACGAATGCAGGTCATCAGAGGTGAGAGACCTCAGCATTTTCATGGGTGACTGGGATTTAAGTATCCCTAACATGGCATCTGTTAGGCAAACATTCTGTCTGGCTTTTAGATGCCTTCTTAATATCAATATTGGGAGATGAACTGTTGAGGGATTCCACACTGGGTCTGATGCCGGAGATGAGGCATTTCAACTCTCCTCAGGGATAAGGAAATAAAAGAATGCTCTTAGTGAAAGAAAGGAGGGAGCAAAACAGAATAAATCCCGTCCCAATGTCCCCAATCTGGTTCTATGACATATATGGAAAAAACAACACACAGAGGAAAGAAAAGAGACAATCTGTCATGGAAGGTAGAAGACAGCAAAATTGATTATTCTAGATTGGTGGTACAGTCTGAACGAGCTATTGGGGCTGTTAGGTTGGTTTTAGCTTTGTCACTGCTTGAGTATATGATCTCTTTTTTTTTTAATGACTAAAATGTTTCACTGTCCAGAGCAAAAATGGCAAGGAAAACACCAAGATATTTAAAAATCAATTCCTACCTCTAAGAACTGTATGATAGTAGACAATTCATTTACACAAATAATTACAATCCAGAAATATAATTTGTAATAGTTTATGAGTTATAGAAATCATGCAGTCAAAACGTAGACATAAGACGCTCACTTCAGGGAAGCTACCCGCAGCTGTACTCCTGCGCTCTGCCCTGCCGGTTATACAAGGTGAGTGGCTGTGTGCCTCTTTCCGCCAGCCTCTGCTTGTGTACTGGCATCCCATTCCCTCTTCCTTACCCAAAAATATTCACTTTCTGCAACTGTCCCCTATCTTTCCCTATGCATCCCCAATTTCTCTCTCTCCCTCTTGGAGTACTACCATCAGCATACAAACATGCTGGTCTATCTTCCGCAGACCACATCACTGTCCAGCTACTGCCCATTTCTTTGCTCCCCTTTACAGCAAAACTCCTCAAGAGTTGTCTATATTCCCTGTATCTACTTCCTCTCCTCCTATTATCCCTTATACTCACTGCAATCAAGCTTTTATACCCACCAATCCTCTGCTCAAAACCTTCCAATTAGCTTAACAAATATTTGAGCTCCTCTGACAATGTTCTAGGCCCTCAGGCAGAGCAGGGAACAATACAGGCAAATAATCTCTGCCCACAAGGAGTTTATATTCTCAAGTAGGAAGAGAAACCATATACTGTATCTTACTTATTTATGAGAACTACAGAGAAAAATAAGGCAGAGGAGAAGGAATGGAAGATGGGGAGTAGGAAGGAGGGAAACTGCAATTCAAATACGGTAGTCAGGGTAGGCCTCACTAAGGCAATAGGTAAACAAAGACATACCTGGGGAAGTTGGATGTAATGGGTCTGACGTTCAAAGGGGAGGTCAAAGCTAGAGATGTAAGTTAGGGAATCATCAGCATATATCAATGGTTATTTAAAGTCATGAGAATACCAAAAAACCATACCCGCTGCCAGAGAATCAATTCCAATTCATAGTCATCAGATTGCATAAGGCCAATTATCAGTGAAACTAGCTGGGGTAGAGGACTAAGTACTCAACATTAAGAGGTCAAGGAGACATGAGGAAACCAGCAAAGAAGCTGAAAAGGCATGGCCAGTGAGAGAGGAGGAGAGTCAGGCTAATGTGGGGTCCTAGCTTTCCACTCTGCTATAACAAATTACCACAGACTTAGTGACTGAAAAATGACACAAATTTATTATCTTATGTTACCGGAGGTCAGAAGTCAGAAATCAGTTTCACTGGGCTAAAATCAAGGTGTTGACAGGCTTGTGTTCCTTCTGGAAACTGCAGGGGAAAGAATTTGTTCCCTTGCCTTTTTTAGCTTCTAGGGGCCTCCTGCATTCCTTGGTTCATGGCCCCTTCCTTAATCTTCAAGCCAGCAGCATAGCATTCTTCAAATATTTCTCTTTTCTCTCTACTGACTTCTGCTTCCATAGTCACATCTCATTCTATGACCCTGGCCATCCTATCTCCCTCTTGCAGAAGACCCTCTAATTATACTGGACCTACCTGGGCAACTGAGAATAACGTCCCCATCTCAAGATCCTTAACTTAATCACATCAGCAGAGTTCCATCTGCCATGCAAGGTAACACATTCACAGGTTCCAGGCATTGGGACGTGGACATCTTAGGGGCAGGGAGGGAAGGGGTCACTGCTCTGTCTACCACACCAAGTAAACACTTTCAGGAAGAGGAAATGATCAACTGGGCCAAATGTAACTGAGGTCAAGTTAAGATGAGGATAGAGACACCACCATTGGACTCAGCAACATTGAAGTCATCAGTAACTTTGACGAAAGCAGTTTCAATGAAGCAGAAGCAAGAGAGAATAGGAGGAAAAGAAGCAGAGACAGATGAGCACAGACAATCCATTGAGGGTGTCATGCTATCAAGAACAGAGAAACAGGACAGTAGCTGGAAGATATAGTCAAGAAAATGTTTCCTATGTGGGAAAAAAATACATGTTTTATGCTATTGAGAATAATCCAGTAGAAGAAAAAGAAGAAGAAGAAAAAAAAAACTGAAGATGCAAGAGAAAGGAGACTTGTTAGAGCAATGTCCTTGGGTAGGTGAGAAGAATCAAGTCGAACACACAAGTAGAGGGCTGGTTTAGAAAACATCACATCCATCCACAGAAACAGGAGGAAAAGCCAGCACACAGCCAAGGTGTGTGACTTGTTTTCCCAGCCACATTTAGCTATGTAGGTACAAGAAAGGAATAGAAAAGAAGTTGGATTTAACCAGTTTGAGGATTCTTCCAGGAGTCTACAATGAAGGAGAAGAGAAAAAGGAAGTTGTCAGGGAGTGACTATAAATATATATCATGGACTCTAAGCTGGGGGAAGAATAAAATGAGGACATAAGGGGAGTGAAGACTAAGAAAACTTAGAGGGATCAGTGGATTGTAGGTACCAGCAGGGTTGAATTGCTGGAGCTGGGGAAGCAGAGGGAGTGAGCGAAAATACTTCTTGTATCACTTAGAAGGTTTCCGTGGTGTTTCTCCAACTAAGCACTCTCCCGCCTAAGGTCTTTACATGGACTGTTCCCTCTGCCTGGGTCGTACTTCCTCCCCCCACCCCACCCCCCACAACAGCCTCACAGCTTGTTTCCTCATTTTCATGGTTAAGAGTTGGGCTACTAACCAAAAAGGTTGGCAGTTCGAATCCACCAGCCACTCCCTGGAAACCCTATGGGGCAGTTCTACTCTGTCCTACAGGGTCACTATGAGTCCGAACCAATTCGACAGCAATCGGTTCTGCTCAAATATTATCTCAACAGAAAGTCCTTCCTTGGTCACATTTAAACAATATCTTCCCCAATCATTCTCTGCGCCCATACTCTGCTTCATCTTTCTTCTTGGCATTTAACTCCTAACCACTGGGGTGGGCCAGGAGTCTGGGTGGGATGCCAACAGCATCTGCCACACAGTGGGCCTTGAATATTTGTTGAATGAAGCAAATATTTCATGACTGACCTTGATTTCCTTTAGATGGATATGGAGGAAGTTAGAGAAGTGGACAAGTCAAGGAACTAAAGGGGAGAAAACGGTGGACCTCGGAAGACAGTGGAAATAAAGTTCTGGGCTTTTATAAGGGAAAGAAGAGTTTTGCAGCCTAGGTTGGAATCCCGAGATCCACTACTCATGTGACCTTGGGTAAGACACCTAACCTCTCAAAGCCTTAATATCTTCCTATGCAAATACGGGGATATACAATTCAGCAATCTCAAAAAATTATCATGAAGAGCAGAAGTACCTAGCACAAAGTATAATCTACAAATATTAGTTCATGGTTCATTCCCTCCTTTCAATTTCCCATGCATAAAGTGGGAATAACATCAACTGCCCTTCCTTGTTAATGGCGGGGGAGGGAGGAAGGGGAGGAGGGACCATCACCATTAATGCAAAATGACAAGACTAACAATACACACCTGGAGTTCCCGGCAGCAGAAGCACTATAATCTACGGGGTGTGGCAGCACACATTGTATAAATCCCATAGCACTGTATCAAACTTTTTTCTTTTAGTAAGAGGGTCATGAGTTAATGCTTCCCCTACCACTCCCCTGCCCCCCAATAATTTACACTATGTTTTCAACAGGCCTTACTTAGAGTGCCATAGGTTGTGGCCTCCCAGCATTTCTGTATTAATTCCTAGAATCACTATTCAAGCTTTGACTATTCCAGCAGCTTCACTGTTCAGCATATGAGCTATGTATACAAATCCCAAGACGGCAGAGCATTTCGCATGGAAAGTCTATGCCTGCAGACATAATCATGTCCTAGGATTTGACACAATAAGAGATACTTTCCTCTTTCCTTATCTTTCATCCAGAATCTACCTTCTCACCTGTTATTTTTTCCAAAAGAGAAACATCTTGCACTTCCTGGGGCAGAGAAGCAATTTTCTGTCGGACAGTAGCATCCCCTGATGCAGCATTTTCCAGATCCTGCAAAGCTTTGATTAGTTCCTCAGTCTGTACAATGAAAACACAAACAACACTATCCATTAAGAGATATGGTGGTTTGAAGAAAATTAGTTGGAGTTAAATGAGGTGGAGACAAATTCTAAATCCTGTCTTTCCTGACATTGAAAAAAACTGTTCTTAGCCCCAGAGCTTACACTGAAGTCAATAATATGAATTCTAAGATAACGTATACAATTAATTTTTCTAAGTCCTTAGGAGAACAAGAATGAAATTCTGTATAATTCTTTTTAAAAAAAAATTTAAAAGAGCATGTCTTTGGCAACTAAGGAAAGAGAGTCTGGTTCATATTGCTTAGTTTCAAATGATGCATGATTTCCAGTACATAACATGAGATGTTTGTCAACTGTATTTTGACTGATTAAATGAAATGTACATACCTACTTCAATTCTTTCTTGGGTTTGCTTTGCAAACAAAGGTGACATTTTCATTTTGGCAGCCACTCCCAAAATTAAATGTGTCAAACTCATTAATTATAAACAAAGGAGCAAAAAACTGAGAAGAGCAAACAAAGAATGTACGGTCTGTGTATATGAAAGAAGGGATTTATTAAATTGTCAGAAAACACAGAATGCTAACAAGTTAAAACCAAAAATCAAACCCGCTGTCGTTGTTGACTCTGACTCATAGCGACGCTACAGAACAGAGTAGAACTGTCCCACAGAGTTTCCAAGGAGCGGCTGGTGAATTCGAACTGCCAACCTTTTTGGGTAGCAGCCAAGCTCTTAACCACTGTGCCTCCAGGGCTCCGCTGACAAGTCAGCCAGTCCATAACAACCTAGTAGTAAATGACTCTGGAGGTGACAGTTAGATTATACTGAAAGTGGATAATTAAGGCTGTTTGAGTTATAGTTTTTAAACCTAAAGATATATGACCTAACAGTGCTATCACTAAGGAGCCCTGGTGGCACAGTGATTAAGCACTCATCTGTTAACCAAAAGGTCAGAGGTTTAAACTCACCAGGCACTCTGTAGGAGAAAGATGCAGCAGTCTGCTTCCGTAAAGATTACAGCCTTGGAAACCCTAAAAAGGGCAGTTCGACTCTGTTCCATAGAGGTCGCTGTGAGTCGAAATTGACTTGATGGCAACGGGTTTGGAGTTTTTGTTTTTTTTTTTTAAATGTAATAAAGTAAAGCTGTTTTGGGCAAAACGAGAGGCAGCATAACCCAATGAAAAGAGAATGGGCTCTGAAGTCAGAGGCCTAGACTCAAATTAAGACACTGGACAAGTTACTCAATCTGCCTCCTTGGGCCTCATTTTCTTTGACTGTAATTAAGTAAATAAATAAAATGAAACAACTGCGCAGAACTCATAAGTTAACTTATATGAAAGGCCTGGCAATAAAAACACATGGTTAAAAACTCAGTAAACGCAACTCCCTGTTTTAATATTTGGAGCCCTGGTGGTGCAGTGATTAAGAGCTCAGCCACTAACCAAAAGGTCGGCAGTTCAAATCCACCAGCCACTCCTTGAAAACCCTATGGGACAGTTCTACTGTGTCCCACAGGGTCACTATAAATTGGAATTGACTTGATAGCAATGGTTTTTTTTTTGGGGGGGGGGTTTGCTTTAATATTTAAATAGGTTACAGTGTAGCAAATTTGCTATTACAACACTGTAACCTTATTGACTGTCCTTATAAACTAACTAGTTGTTTATTTATAAAACAACTGTGCTACTAGAGGCAGGCCCTGACAGAGGATTTTTGAATGTCTTTGTAACATTATCTACCCCTTTCACAAAATTCTATTTTTTAAAAACATTTTTAATTTCTAGGAGTGAAAAAAAAAAAAAAAAACAAGTCCAAGTACTTTAAAAAATAAAGAATCCATCCTAGAGTCAAGGCACACAAAGACAAAGGCAAGCCTGCTGTTTGGCAACCTTCATTGGTGGATCTTGCACCCAGTGCCTCGCGTGCTGCCCTCTGGTGATTCCATACTATTGGCTACTGGCGCCACCTTGTGGCCATCATCTTCAATCAGAAGTCACTTCACTAAGCCAGTCTGCCCTACTCTCTGGGGGTGGTTAAGACATACCAATAGGGGTCCTGCAGAAGGATCTTGTGGGGAGTAACTTCCAGGGTAGTCGTCATCCTCCTCCTCTTGTATCTGCTGAAAAGTTCGCTTCAGAGACTTCTTCTCTTCTGTTACTAGAAGAAAAAAGTGACAAATTAGAGTCATAAATGCTGCAGATAGTCAAAATGTTATGCAAAATGGGCCACATGTTAAAAAAAAAAAGGGCAGAAGGGGTGGGCATTTTCAGAGATGGCTTAACATCAACTTTTATGCCAGGTATTTAAAGTTGGTCGTAGTTCCCCACGCTATTGAAAAGAGTCAAATAGGCTTTGGTCTGTCATCTCTATCTCTGATTGACTCGCTGGAAAAATACTATTTAAACAAGCATCTAAAAGTGAAACTTGCCAAAACCATCACATTTAATTTAAAAATTTGTATCTTAGAAACAAAAAGTTAATAGGAGAAGTAAAATGGTAGAAAACCCATCAGACAATGTAATGAAGCAAGCCAATCTCTGCAAGCGTTCAGAGAACATACTGCATATAAATGTGATATACTTCCCAAGGATTTTAGAAAATGGGAGAAACCCATAAATAAAGTTGTGTCAAAAATTCTAAACACAACTATCTTTTAAATTATCCCTTTATAAACAAAACAAACCTAATTTTACTTTAAAATTAAATATAACCATTAGTAAGAAATATGATTGATAGTATTATTTAAACTGCCATTTTAAAATTAACCACTTTTGGAGCTGACAGGCTACATTTTTTATCATCTGTACTGTATGCTTTTAAATTGTTATGATGGATGTGTTAATTCCAAAACCATTCCTTTTACATCAAACTGGACAATACAAAATAAATACCAGAATAACAAATTCTGGTTTGGCAAGTAAAGAAACTATCGGACACCTAACTGTGGCAGGCACTGCAATAGTTTATTTACACTTAATCCTTCCCACAATTCGAAGACATATTAACCTCATTATATGGGTGAGAAAATAAAGGTCCAGGAAGGTTAAATACCCATATAAAGGAATGACTCCTAAACCTGTGCTCTTTCCATTACAACTCAAATTACTTCTCACCACATAATTACCTTCTCTGTCAAAAAAGGGGGATACCATGCACCTGTCTCCAAACGCACCATAAGTTATAGATAGAATAATGCACACTTCTGCTTAAACATTTTGTTTTGGAATCAAGCATGTAGTCACTGTTCTCTACCTTATACAATAACTGACCAAACTTGTTTGAAGTGAAAGTCAAGTCAATACTGTGGGTTTTATTTTTTAATGTTTTTTGTTTGTCTGTTCTACTAGAAAAAGAAACATCAACATTTGCAATGTAGGCCATCCTTGCTTTGCATGATTCTGATATACACGGATTTCTGTTACCATGGTTTATGGTTTAGTGAAATGACATCAGTCCCCCAACAATATGGTTCGAATTTCAGTTACCATGGCATAATAACTATGAGTAATTGGATAAAGTACAAACTTCGCCGCCAACTCTTTGGTTCACAAATCATTACATAAATCATAGATGTGCATCATGATCAATGACCAATCATGTTGCTTCTTTCAAAGTCTGTCAGCGACCAATCACTGCACATCTGTTATGCAGTTTATGTACAGACAGCCAAGTGTTTAGTTGTGTTGTTTCCTTGTCTCCCAATGATAAAATCCACATGACATTTGAGAAAGATGAATAATTGAAAGAGGGAACTGGTCAACAAAGATGAAAGTGCAGCAAAGAAACTGAAACTAAACGAATGCTGAAAGTGAAATTTGAATGGAACGCACGTGGAGTTACAGCTGGACATGGAAATGCTGACGCTGCCACCATTCTAGACACTCTACACAGACAGTCAGAGGAACTGAGCAAAGGTGAACTTAGCAACATAAATGAAGAAAGCGGCTATGCGAAAAGGATGACAATGTCCCACAGGAATGACGCCAGCAAAAACTTCATATCTAAAGGAACCCTCAGAGCTACTTCATGACACTGAAAGTAGAAAGGATCAAATGTTGGAAGTTGAGTCAAACTTAGAAAGGAGTATGACAATTCACCGAGGCATAGAAAAGATGTTTGCTCCATATCATAAATTACACAATGAGAGGGAGAAGGCAAACGCTGTTATTGATAAGTTTGCTACAAAGTAAACATACTTTCATTCTCAATCTTTATATTTTAAATTACAGCATAGTAAATACTGGTTTCACTATCTTTGTTTCCCTATACATTTATAATCAACAGTAAGATAGTTTTCAACGCTTTGACAAAAAAAGTTTTAAAAGTGTCACAGGACAATCGTAATCTTTCCTACGATGATTACGATAGTTTTGCATGGTCTCAGCTTTCATGGTCATTTTTACAGTCCCACACAACCATGACAAAGTAAAGACTGCTATATTTTTAACATGGAAAATCTATTAGGATATAATTTACATATAAAATATCTAACAGTACTCTGCATGCACTACCTCCCTAATTACACCTACTCCTCACTTACAGGCATGGTCAGGTTCCAAAGACCAGGTCATTGTATGAAAATTGGCATTATGCAAAAATAGAAGATGATCACATAGATCACAAAATGGAGATGACTACACCATTACAAAACTGCCAGATTACATCATCACATAACTGCCAAACCACTGAGAATCATGGCCCAGCCAAGCTGACACATAATCTTAACCATCACAGCTAGTGTTACTCTTGCCTCAAACCCTGGCGTTCGTTACTGCCAGACATATGTCATTAACGCACAAGATAGTCGGATGGTAGATTTTTTGCTATTGTAACTGCAAAATGTCAGGTAAATGAGACAGTTTATAAGTGAAGGGTAGATGCAGAGTGCGGTATGCAGGGCTTCAAACCCAGTTTGGTCCAGTTTGACTCCCTGCTGACAATCTGCATGTCTAACAAGCTCCCTGCTGAGCGAGAATTTGCATTTCCAAAAAGTTCCCAGGAAGTTATACCTAAGAATCACCTGACCAGAGGGTTAAATTGGACCAAACTGGTTCAAAGCACTGGTGGCATGTTGTATGACCAATGCAGACATTAGCTACTGCAGCATCAAAGTGGCCTCGGGTGAAGGGTGGCCACTAGAATGTAAGTACCTCAACAGCAAAAAAGAAAAAAAGTTTTGCTTGCTTCCAAGCACCTGGAAGAGTGCTCAATAATTGTTAAATATGCTAAACCAAAACCAAACCAAACTCGTTGCTGTCAATTCCGACTCATAGCGACCCCATAGGACAGAGTAGAACTGCCCCATAGGGTTTCCAAAGAGTGGCTAGAGGATTTGAACTGCTGACCTTTTGGTTAGCAGCCAAGCTCTTAACCATTCATTGCACCACCACGGCTCCCAAATATGCTAAAGAAGGTGGAAAAGAGTCAAAACTTGAAATCCTTCCATTTTCAAAGTCCCATACAGAAATTACCATATGTAAAAGTCACATATCACTTAATACCTCAGAACATTTAGAATCGCTGAATTTTGGAACTGGAAAGCCTTAGATCAACCCATGTCTGTGCTTTCCCACCTCAATTTTCAGACGAAAATATCAAGGCCCACAGGTTGTGATTTGTACAAAGTCATAGAATTCTTTAAGTCTGGATCCTACAGCCAAAGTCTTCTAATCCAGAATTCTTTTTACCACTTCATGCTGCTACTCAAGACTGAAATCAAACTGATGGAAATAATCATAGGGTCATTTCTGTCCTTTGCCATCCTGATGGAAGAGAGTGTAATTGGAGCTGCTAACCATTACCATCCCACTGTTCCAGTTATCTCCTATCTCCACTTGGAGGACCTACTGGTGCTATAAACCCAAGACTTCTGGAAATGAATTACTCATCAATTCCCCCATAGGGTGCCTCCCTCCCTGAGCTACCTACTTTAGTTATCAGTAATTCCTCTTGCCCCATATTCCAAGTACAAAACCTTAAAGACCACTAGAATCTCTCCCAAAGTCCCATCTTCTAGCAGATTCCATACCTCTCAGGGATCTTACATACCCCCTCTCTGCTCTTTCCTGGTCTCTGATCAGCATTCTGCCTTTCATCATAGTCTAGACCACTGTCCCAACTGGTCTCCCTGCCTCTAGCTGCTCCTTCTCTAACTTAGGCAACACTCAATTATTAATCTTCCTAAAGCTGAGTTCTGACCTTGTCATGTCTCTATTCAAAAACCTAGAATGGCATCTAATGATCTTACAATACCCTAGGTTGAAAGCCTAATGTCATCTCGAGTACTCCTCTTCCTCAGTCATCATCCTTTCCCTCTGAACTCCCACAGTACTTGTTAATTGCTGTCCAGATGGCTCCAACTCATGGCGAGCTTACGTATAATGGAACAAAATGTTGCCTGGTCCTGTGCCATCTTCATGTTGGTCGGTATATCTGAGTTCATTGCAGCGGCTATTGTGTCAATCCATCTCATTTTCGTTCACTCTACCAAACAGGATACCCTTTTCTAGTAATTGGTCTTTCCTGATGATGTGTCCAAAGTAAGTGAGTCAAAGTCTCACCATCCTCACTTTTAAGGCGCATTCTAGTTGTATTTCTTCCAAGACTGATCTGTTTGTTCTTTTGGCAGTCCATGTATAGTCATGGTATATATTCTTTGCCAACACCACAGTTCAAATGCGTCGATTCTTCTTCTGTCTTCCTTTTTCATTGTCCAGCTTGGGACTTCCTTTTTAAGTACGTGGCACTTGCTACTCTGTATGGCTACTGGCAGGCACAGGCCTTTCCTTTCTGATAGAAACGTTGTCTTGTTCCTTTACATTCTTAAAGTACCTAGAAAAGCATCAACAGACCTGAGTTCGAAACCTCTCAAAGGCAGAGGAGGCATGGAGCCTGGAAAGTGCCAGTGTGGTACCACAAATGACTACCATTGCTTCCCTTTACACACACAGACACAGCACTCTGGTAACGCTACCTGGACTAATCTGAGCAGTTAGTAGTTAGGATGCCTAAGATTCTCAATCAAGTCAGACAGCCATTAAAAATAACCTAGGAAAGCTATCAGTCCTGCTGCGAATTTAAGATAAGGCACCCTTTCCACGATCAACTTGACTTCAAATGATGGTACTTAACACTCCCTTTTTCACTCACTCAACCACCTTGTTTACAGGCAAGGCAAACACTACAGTTGGCCGGTGTCCCTCTGTCCTTATATTGCACACCTTCTATTCTATCCTCCAACCTGTCCCTGTGTCTCCAGGGGGCCTTGTGCTCCACTAACCTTCAAGTAATCCAGGTTACCTAAGGGTTTATAGCATGCTTCTTGGAGCCCTGATTACGGTAGAATTGCAGACACTATGGCAGAGCATGAAACTAATTTTAGGACAAAAAACTTGCCTGAAGGTTCCCAAATCACATTACAAAACACAGTTATCTACCAAAGCTGGATCTTCTAAAGGATCCACTTGACATTTTCTGGGATTTAAAAAAAAAAAAAAAAAAAAAAAACCCACAGATCTTGTATTACTTTTACAACCAGAAAAGAATCAGTGAATATTGTTTGCGAAAGCTCCTCACTCTTTGTTCCCCCTAGAACCTAAAGGAAATTGTTTTAAAAGCACCTTAAATTTTACTTGTGGACTTGCAACAAATAAAAGGCTACCACTTGAGGCACAGTTCTAAACGCACTTTACCCTATCATCTCACTGGACTGACCAGCCGAGTCCAGACTTAGACCCAGGGATGCTGGCCCTGGAGTTCGTCCTCTTAAGCCACTATACTCCCCAGGCCTTCACAAACTCTGGGGGACTGAAGATACTAAAAGTCTCCTCCTACTTTTGCTACTGGTTCACATTTAGAAACTCAGAATATTAGTTATTAGAACTGAGGGGGGTGGAGTCACCTCATGGTCCTGCCAACAACAACCTACCTGCATTATCTCAAGTAACCCTCAACAACTCTAGGAGGTATTACTATTAATAACCATATTGTACAGTGAGGAACTTGGGATTCAGAGAGGTCAAATGCCATGCCCAAGGTCACACAGCTCAGAAGTCTGATTCCAGACCCATGTTCTTGATAGGAAAGCTGGGTGACCTGTTCATGAATTCCTATTATAATTCAAAACTACTGAATCCATGTGCTTTTAGGAAAAAGTACACTCTGGGAAGAACATAGTGAGATAGACCTGGATTTGAATTCTCCACTTACCAGCGATATCTCCTAGGACAAAATTACTGTTCCTTTTGGGCCTCAGAACCCTGGTGGCATAGTGGGTAAGAGCTACGGCTGCTAACAAAAAGGCTCGCAGTTCGAATCCACCAAGCGCTCCTTGGAAACCCGACGGGGCAGTTCTACTCTGTCCTACAGGGTTGCTATGAGTCAGAATCGACTCAACGGCAATGGGTTTGGTTTGGTTTTTTTAGTTATCCTCATCTGAAATATGAAAATAATACCAAATTCAGAAAGTAACTGTAAGGATCTAAAAAGAATTAACATGGAAAGCAGCCAGCAGGAAGGCTGACAAGTAAATCAATAAATGCTAGTTCCTTTGTAGCCTTTCCTTTCTAAATCCTTCTACAACTATATGATACTGCATGATTCATGTGTGACTCAAGCAAGTAATAAAGTTCCATTCAGTCAAGGAACACCGTCTGTTCCCAAGAAAAGAAAGACAACTTTTTTTCTCACACCTGGGGAGACAGGTACATAACTTAAATAAAAAACAGTTGCCATCAAGTTGATTCCAATTCATGGAGAACCCATTGGTATCAGAGTAGAACTCTACAGGGTTTTCAAAGGCTGATTGTTTTGGAAGTAGATCACTAGGCCTCTCTTCCAAGGCACCTCTGGGTGGACGCAAACCTCCAACCTTCAGTTGGCAGCCAAGCACGTTAACTGTTTGCACCACCCAGAGACTCCAACTTAAGAAATAGCCAGTTCTAAAACAGAATTCCTAAGCCATTCATTCTCCAATATTATAAGAACTGCCAAAGTTCCATAGAAAAATTTTTATCTCAAAGGTAAACTCTGAAGTTGTCTGCAGACAAAGAATTACCCATGAATCAAAGCTGAAATAGAAAAGGACTATTCAAATTTGGAAATAAACTTCCAGAGAACTCATTAACATTTTAAAGGATTGTGCAAAATATTCTGGTAACTCAGGTCCTAAAAAGACAATGAGAAGATGCAGCACTTAGCTAGGACTAATAAACACAAACACTGGAACTTTTTGATACTTGTTTTCTATCTTTACAGAATAAAGAGAAATTATCTTTATATTAGCTTATCCTCCACCCAGAGAAATACTGCCTATGTTATTGTTAATGTCTAGACTCAAAAAAATCAGAAACCCAACAGAACTATTTTCAAATCTACCACTGCCACAAATTCCCCAATTTGTCTGACTGCTCCCTGAGGGCAGAACTATTTCTCACTCCTCTCTCTCCCTCTCCTACAGCACCTAGCATAGTTATTTACTCAAAGCACACGTGCAGCAAATGCTTACTGAATTGAAATTCAACACTTAGCTTTAAACATCCTCTTCACAAAGCTCTCCTACCTGCCCAAAGGTGGGGGAAAAAAAAAATCAGTACTGTTCACCAATGAACTCTAAGGCAGAATAAAGAATGCTGGATAATTCCCCAACGCTGTACAGAATAGCTTCAAAGGACATAAAACAAACACTACCAGAATCCAAAGTAGAAAACATCTTGCTTTTCAGAAACTACAACCAGAATGACCCCAAAATTGTTTTCCATCAACTCCAAGTACAGCAACAACCTATAGTCAGAAAGCACTTATGTCACCCTTAGAAAGCCTCAAATCTTCAGTTTCATGGAAAAACTACCCCACCTTAAAATGCACATAATCTTGGACCTGGTAGAGCTCATGAGAGGCACTGATTAAAGGGTTGCTGAATGAATGATATTACCACGTATGCCATTCATAGTTAAGTTCTATAACAGAGACAGGTATGAAGTACCAGGGGAAGAAGCAGGGAATGGCTACATCTGTCCAACAAACCACAGGAGATGTAAGAATGAGAATAGCATTCTTGAAGAATGAGTTCATCATACAGGGAAAGGGGCAGGAGGACACTTCAGGCAGAGGTAACAGCAGACAGCAAAAGAAAGGGTACCAACAAAGCATCCCGAGGGGAAACTGCTGGTGATCCAATGGGGCCAAAGAGTATGGTGTACGTAAGGAGATAGCAGGAGAATCTGGAAAAGTAGACTACAGTTCAGATTATAAAGGGTCCAAAATAACACTACGTTAGTGCTTGGATATGATCCTCCAGGCAATGAGTGTGTATGCGATCAGATCAGATCATAGCTTAGAAACATGTCCTGCCAACTAGAGTTAAATCGCAGCTAGCCCAAAGCCAAATAACCACATAGCATTTGACCTTCTTACTCTTCTTTAAAGACAAAATAACATAAGCTCTTATGAAGGACTTGGTAAAATTCACACACATACATGTACATATTTTCTGAGGACGTCCTGGGTTCAGTAAAGACCAAAATCAATTTTAGGAAGCAAGCTAATAACCACAAAAGTATGTTCCAAAAACCACAGTAGTATTTAACAAAGCAAAGTTCTACAAGGGCTAAGGGACTCATCCACGATCCTATAGTAATTAATGGCAGGGCTAGGACAAAATCTTAGTCCAGGGTACTTGCTAGTTCACCACAATCGGGAACAATTTGTTATTCCATTCCTTTCCCTGGGGCAAGGAAAGTCTCTGTAAAGCAGAAGAGAGACAAGGAGAATACAGAACAAAAGTTAAGAGTGTGAGATGATGAATAGCGTGAGTACTAGAACCAGGCTTGCACACTGCGAGCACTACATAAATTCTCACCATCATTCATGATCATCTCTCTGAAGAATCATATAATCGCTGGTGGTTCACAGCAACCCCCACTGCAGCTTTTCATATTTGATTCGAAAGTAGGCAAAGACCAAGAGCTGTAAACATGTGGTGATGTTTCTACCTTTGGGGGGAGGGCTCTTGGAGTCCTCCATAGACAGCTTCAGCTGCTGTATGAACTCGCCGCCATACACACTTCTTTCTTGCCAGATGTTCAGCAATCTTTCTAAAGGTTTTTTACAGCCTTCATCTGCCTCCCTGCCCAGAAAAGATGAAAAGATATATATAAACTTAAGGTTTTTTTGTTTGTTTTTAATTAGGACAGACCTACTTATAAAAAAAAAAAAATCAACAACTGAATGATTTACATTTAAATAACAGAAGGAAAAGTAAGGTACATATTGTGACACTTGGATATCCAACTTGACCAGAAATTATATTCTTCCTGTTGTGGGTCGGAAAGGGAGATTATATTATAGAAGTAATCTTTTTTTCCCCTTTGAAAGACAGAGCAAATAAGGCAAAAAGCCAATGGCTGATTTTTACAGACACAATTATCAAAAATCGATCATAGCAATTGTGATAGCTTGCTTTTTAAGAAGACATTCTGCTGGAAATCAAAGTGAGCCAAAACTTTTAAGGACAGAAAAAATGATTACAATAAACCCAAAAGTTTAAAATGGGGAATAAATTCACTACAACTCATCAATGCTAACACATCAACATCTCTACATGCATAGATAAAATTGTGTACACACAGATATACTAACACTGATCTCAACTCTCTAAATTAACTACCTCATAATTATTTTAATTCTGAACTAGGTCTGTATTCCATATTTATACAAGAGTGTCTAACAGATCATTTTTTAATATACTGAGAATAAGGTAGTCCTTTGTGATTTATATCTGAAAAAAGGTAGTTTTTTTAATTGACATATCACACTTTTCAAACAGAATATTTTTCAACGAGATGACTATAACTAGCACTCAGTGTGAACCAGCTGCCTCCTATAAAACCTCAGACAGCAAGTAGAAGAGTGGGGGAAGACTTTCTAAACGGAAAAAGTCACCATCCACCACACTGTTTTCTGCGGCTGTTTGGATGGCAGTTTAAATTCAGTGTCAATGATCTTATATTCACTGACTTAAACAAGAAGGGACGCCCTACATCCTAGTATAAATCAAATACTTCTTAATAGAAACTTCAAGAAGAAACCACACCAAATTCAACTCACATGGGAATGTTATCTACCTCCAACCCTGACTATTCTAAAGCTTATGTTAACACTCTGAGGTGAGATAAGGTTTCAGCCTAGCCTGGTCCAACTGTATTACTTATGAATTATTAGTGGCTGCTTTCACTGAACTGAGGCCAAAGGACTAAATCAAGGTACACACAAATTCTTTTTTGTTGTTGTTCAATTTTTTTTTTTTTTCAGTCAGGGGTAAGGGTTAAGGGAAAAAAAGGAGAAATTCCCCACTGACAGTTTATACAGCTAAAAGATAGGATCTAATTTATTAATATTTGTGATAAAACACTTTTACTGCACCTTCAAAATATATCTAGAAACAAATTAACTTCTCTCTTCCTCTGCTATCAACCTGGTCCAAGCCACTATCATCTCTTGCCTGGATTTATGGAGACATAAATTTGGGAGTTAACACCATATACACATTATTTATTTATTGTTGTGCCGGGGATTCTTTATTCATTATTGGTCTTCCTGCTTCTACCTTTTGCCCTCCAACAATCTATTTTCAAATTTTAAAAATATAATTCTAGCTACTATTAAGTCAGACCACATCACTCCTTTGCTCAAAACCCGTTTTCTTCTCCCATAGAATAAAAGTGAAAGTACTTACAAAGGCTTAGAGCCTTTCTCAACATAGCCCATTATTTCTCTGGCCTCATCTCCTACCCACTCTCTCCCCCCTCTCTCCACAACAGCTACACTGGTCCTCTTGCCTCAGGGCCTTTATACTTAACAGTTCGCTTTGCCCCAGATAGTAGCACGCTTATTCCCTCCTCTCCATCAGGTCTGTTGTTGTTAGGTGCCGTCGAGCCGATTTTTGACTCATAGTGACCTATATTTACTCAAACAGCACCTTCTAGATGGGTGAGTCCTTCCCTAACCTCTCTTTAAAATTGTACCTCCTGCCCCTTTAATTTTTCTCCATATAATTTATCTTCTGATATGCTGTATAGCTTACTTGTTGTTTACACTCTCCTTCCATCTGAATGTAATTTCCACAGAGGCAGGGGTTTCTCTTTCCCCCCACAGCTATATGCCTTAGAAAAAGCACAATAAATATTTGTCAAATTATAATCTTTCCTGGAAATTTTTATATAGGTTTCAGTAGGTCATCCAGTTACTTAACTTTCAACAATTATCTCACTATATCAAGGTCATTCATGTCCAACATGTACTAACCCCTAAAGTGGTCATTCGATGAAGGGGTTTGTGGATTACCATACTTGGAATACAAAGAATAAGGCCTAGGTCCTGATCTCTAGGGTTCAGTCTCTCTAGCCTCATGTCCTCCATATTCCTCCTGGGGCTTCACATTCTAGCAGCACTAAACCACTGGTAATTTTCTACTCAGAACTTGCTCCCTCTCGTCCATGTGCCTTTATTCGTGTTATCTCCTCCTCTCCTTTGAATGTCCACATTGCCAAAATGGAACAAGGCTAAGAGGAAGGAGAAGTTGTGAGTAATTCAGGTGGCTGAAATATATGTGGTTTATGAGAAAACAGGAGAAGAATCTGGAGGGATAGAGTGGAATCAGATTATAAAGGGTCCTGAATCGCATATTAAGCACAGGGCCTTAATCCTACAGATAATGGGAAGTCCCTGATGTGATCAAATCTATGGTTTAGAAAGAGGCATCATAACTAGTATAACCAAACTACAACAAAGTGGAACTTAATTTAACATAAAATCTGTTCTCTGCAGCATCTCTGTTCACGTAAAAGAAAGAGAAACCAATCATGGGAACTTATTCTTATCAAAAATTTAGTTTTAAAAACAGGGAGGGGGGCAAAACACCCACCCACTATCCACCATTCCTGGAGATATCTGAGGTTCAATTCAGACTAAGATTGACTTTGAGTACAACTCCAGCTACAAAATTATACAGTGGAAAGTGATATTCACCACTAAAGGCAAAAGCCAAAAGGGGGGCTCTAGTTTAACTAGTGAATATAATTAATCAGGATAAGCTGTTTCCTTGGGCACTGGAGTACATCAAGGTTTTGCTAGATAAGTCTAAGTTACAGATAAAACATGCAAGAAATCTGTTTTTACTGATGAGGTTTGGAATTAAGTAGCTCCAGTTAACTGGAAATCACTTAACTTAAGCAACTGGAATCAGATACAACAAAAGCAATAACGCAGTTTTATAACAGAAGGAGTTCCCTTTTCAGGTTGCTCTAACTCTGTACTAAATTGGGAAATCTTCAAGTGAAAAAGGCCCAAAAATTTTTGCTACCAGTCTACGAAAACACTGGAGGAAGACAAAGAACTATATATATAATTTAATATTACACTGAACACCATTTCACATGTATCTTAGTTAATTTTATAAATTCAATCACTGCCCACTTTCCTAAGACAGATGGTAAAAACTGACCTTAATAGATGGAAAACACACACAAAGTTGCTGCTTCAGGTGTCAGCTGGACACCTGCAGCCTTGCCAAGCCAGCCTGGGGGCCTTGTGTTCCTCTGCAGCTTTACAGAACTTCCTTGGTACATCTGTAACTTATATGTTTCTGTCTGATCCCACACACAGTAGACCTATGGTAAGCCTACCTAGTAAGGGCAGGAATTTTTTCTTAGTATCCCCAGCACTTCCTATAGTACCTCATGCAAAGCTAAGCAGAAATGTCTAAAAATTGAGCAGAAAAGAGTTAACATAGCAAAGCTGACACTGCTATCCTTAGAAAGCCCTGCTCGAAAGGCTGGCCCTTGGCTGGCATCTGGGAATTTGGATTTTGAGAGTGTTCTCACCATTCCTTAACTGACAAGGGTGGCTCACTGTGCCTAAACTGCACAAACAATATAACTTACGCTGAACACCTACTTTTCTTCTGGAGTCTGGAATTTTAGTAGGTGCTAGGCAGAGGATGCCTACATGACCAACCTTAATAAAAAACCCTGGGCACTGAGCCTCTAATGAGCTTTCCTGGTAGAAAACATTTCACACATGTTGTCTCACTCTGATGCTGGAGGAATCAAGTCACATATTTTACATGACTCAATTGGCAGAGCACTCTTGGAAGCTTATGCTTGGTTTCCTCTGGAATTCACCACATGTGCCTTTCCCATTTGCTGAGTTTGCTTTGTATCCTTTCATTATAATAAATCACAGCCATGAATACAACTGTATCTAAATTTTGAGAATCTTCCTAGTGAGCCATCAAGCCTAGGAGCAGTCTTGAGAATCCCCGGCACAACAATAAATAAATAATGTGTATATGGTGTTAACTCCCAAATTTATGTCTCCATAAATTAATTCTCCACCGAGCTTCAGACTATTTTATCCATCTGCCTATCAGGCATCTCCCTTTGGGGTATCTAATAAAAAAAAATAAACAAAGAAAAACCCAAACCAGTTGGCATCAAATGTATCCTGACTCATGGCAACCCCATGTGTGCAGAGTAGAAGTGTACACCCCAGGGTTTTCAAGGATGTGAACTTTCAGTAGCAGAATGCCAGGCCTTTCTTCCAAAGCGCCTCTGGGTGGGTTCCAGCCACCAATCTCTTGGTTAGTAGTCTAGTGCTTAACTGTTCATGCCACCCAGGGACTCTTGGATATCTAAGAGCCATCTCAAAATTAGCATGGCCAAAACAACTCTTAACTTCCTCTACCAAATCTTCATCCCATTCTTCATCTCAGTAAATGGCACCATCAGCGATCCATTTATACTCATGTCAAAACCTAGAAATCATCTTTGATTTTTCTTTTCCCTCACCACCAACCTCCACTTAACTCCCACAAATCCTATCAGTTATGTGGGGAAAAAAAATACCCCAAATTCATCCACAAAGCATTCAATAAATGGAAATTATTATCATCTCACTGCTTCTGAGTCCTAGCCAGTCTCTAGCCTGTACTATAGCAATATCATCCAAACTCATCTGCCTGCCACCTCTCTTGGCCTTTACAATCTATTCTCCACACCAAGTCAGAGGAATCTTTTAGAAATATGTGTTGGAATACATAATTTTCCTGCTTAAAATCCTTCACTGACATCCCATCATAACACAATCCTAACTTCTAAGGCTTACAGGAATCTCTGCGAATGGTACCTGCCTAGTTCTCTGATCTCATCTGATGCTACTTTCCCTTTTGTTCACTGTGTTCTAACCAAACTAGTCTTCATTCTGGTTCTAACATGCGAAGATTGTCTCTGCCTTAGGTTATTCTTCACAGCTGTTCCTATCCACATTTTGTAAGATTACCTCAAACGGCATTTCCTTAGAGGCCTTCCTTGATCACACTACCTAGAAGAGACTCCCTACCCCCACCCATTGTAGAACATCATTCTATTTTATTATGTCCAGCATATCACTCTCCAAAGTATCTTGTTCATTTATTTGTCTTTGCCTGCCTTGTTCACTGCTGTTCCCCTAGTGTCTGGAACAGTACCTGGCACATAAAAGCCACTCAGTATATGCTGGGAGACAAATGAAACACACAACTATTTCCAAACTGAGAAGAAAACAAGGCAGCCCCTGTATGGAAAATACGCTTGTAATCTGGTTAATTAACTGTTATTCAAATCATATCTCCCACTATGAGCTTGGGTGACTTCTTTGACTTGAGAGGTTGTTTTGTTTTTGTTTTTGTTTTTTGGGGGGAGGCAGAGAAGTGGGAGGTTATCATAAAGATACTTCTTATGAAATTTTAGTCAACAGTAATGGCTCAACTACTTTTATCATCAACTGGCCATGGAATAACCACACAGAAAGCATGCATTAAGCTACTCTCACTGTTGATGAGGTATACCAGTCATTGAAGTGAAGTTGCTGGACTTTGTTCAGGGTGGGGGCTTGAAAACATGGGTTGTCCTGAATATAATACCCAAACAGGACCTTAAAAGAACTTGTTGTGTGCCATCGAGTCAATTCTGACTCTCAGCGACCCAATGTGACAGAGTAGAACTGCCCCAAAGGGTTTCCTAGGCTGTAATCTTTATGAGAAGAGATTATCAGGTCTTTTCTCCCACAGAGCTGCTGGTTCAAACCACTGACATTTTAGTTAGCAGCTGAGCACTCAACCACCGCACCACTAGGACTCCTTTAAAAAAACTAGAAGAATGCAAACAAAAGATTTGAGTCTATTTTTTTTATTAAGAAAAGGACCAGCTTTATTTTCCCCACAATGTCATGGAATCTGCCAAGGCATTTTTACAGTGCCTGTGGGATAGGTTTTAAGATATCACCAAATAGAAAAGGAATTTTTAATCCCGGTGTTGCCCACTCTCCTTTTCTCACCCCTTTCTACTTACACTTTGTTGAATTATTATTATCAGTAAAGATTACTGATCAATTTTTAAATACAAGTGCTATGTTTACTGACCCTATAGGAAGTTATTTCAGCCCATTGTCTAGAACCTTAAATTAACTCATTCGACAAATATTTACTGAGTGCCTACTCTGTGCCTGGGCAGACCACAATGTTTCCCAGCTCCTAGGATACCATTCACAATGAGCTACATAAATGATACCCCTAAAGCTACATAACTTAGCAGCTTTGTAACAGACACTTTGCTAGGTGCTTGGGATAAAGAACAGGACCAAAACGGCCCTTAGTTTCATGGAGCTTACAATCTAGTACATAACAATGAATGAGCAGATTACAGATTTTACTAGGTACTTTCAAACATACAGAGAAGCCCCGGTGGCGCAGTGGTTAAGGTTTCGGCTGCTAATCAAAAGGTCGGCGGTTCAAACCCACCAGCCACTCCACAGGAGAAAGATGTGGTAGTCTGCTTCCGTAAAGATTACAGCCTTGGAAACCCTATGGGGTAGTTCTACTCTGTCGGATAGGGTCGCTATGAGCTGTAATTGACTCGACACAATGGGTTTGGTTTGTTTTTTTCCCAAACATACTGTCTTATGTTAACCTCATAACAACTCTAATGAGATAGGTGGTGTCATCCCCCTTTTAACCAATTAGGAAACATGGGCTCCAAAACTTAAGTAACACAGTCAAGGTCACTCAGACAATATTTGAGGCAGAGCTACATCCAATGTCTAAGAAAGTGTGACCTGAATCTCATTAAAAGAAAATGCCTCTCTCTCCAATTTCAAACCGCTACTCTAGTAGTCTGTTCTATACTTACTATTAGGAAGATTCAGTTATTTTTTATAAGCTAATGACCCATTCTGCTTCTTCAGTGTTCATGTTCATTAATAGAAAAAGCCAGCTATGTAGCTTAGCAGCAAATTAAAAATCTTTTTCCATCTCTAGAAAGCTACATTTCATTTTTTTCTTTTGGATTTCTGGTTTTATTCCTTCAATTTTTTTCAATTCCTTCATGGAATGCTGGATTTATTTTCATATTTAAGGCCTTTCAGTTACAATTTAGAACTTAGAAAATCTTTTGGTTAACCCACTAGTCTCCTTTGCACCGTTCCTGATTTCCTTCAGCAAAGATCTATTTATTTTTTATATTACTTAGTCCTATTCTACTGAAAAAAAGCCAGTTTTTGTTTGCTCCTCCTGGATATCTAACTTGTATATATAGAAAGCAGCTTGTTGTTAAATGAATAACAATGATTTATAAAACTTTTAATCAAATTTATGCATTCTATGATATCAGTATAGATACACAATATGCTCCAGTCCTCTCTGTTACAAAATATGATACGAGCAGAGACTTAACGCAGCCAGTGCAAATACTTTCCACACTAATAATTACTATCTTTGCAGATACAGTAGCAACTCCTATTTTTAGTAAACTAGACATTTACACATCTAGAAGGAAATAAGTAAAAATGAAGGCATAAGCAACTAATTTCTCGCCATAAAGGTTCTGTTACAGAAAGGTTCACTTGTACTACTTAGCTATTTAGCCATGATTTTTTTTTTAATCATAAGCTCATGAGACAACTCAGCCAAATCAAGAAAAAATACAATTTTCAAGAAAGTATACCATAAATGAATGGATAGAGGGGAAAAGATGTGATTCAAGTGCTAGGCTGAATTCTCTTAATACAACAAAATGTTTATATGATTGAAATAGTTAACGGCCGGGCAAAACAAAGCCACAATATGGCCTCCACAACACTCTCTTTAAAGTATAAAGTTTTCAGTTTACAAAGGCTATCACAGAAATGCAAAGAACAAAAAGAAAGAAAGGTATTGCATTGAAAAAAAAAAAGAAACAAACAAACAAACAGACAACATACCTGGCAACATGAGAAAAAGCATCCACAAGGACAGATTCAAATTCTCTAGTGAATTCAGGTCCTTTCCTTTTACTATTTTGGATGACATCATTTGCTAAGTACAGAAAAGTAAGCTTTCTATTTGATTTGGCTGGAAAAAAAAAAAGAAAATAGTTTAACTTACACCAAGGAAATTCTCATTTCACAGTCCTTTTGCCCTAGGCTACTCAAAAAAGAACATCAGGACAAGCATTATCTACTTGAGGTCAAAGTTGCTTATTTTTTAAAAAAAAAAAAAAACAACTTGAGGAACTCATGAAGGTCTCTAACAAAACAGGTTTGGAAAAACCGTTTTTGGAGGGAGGAGGGGAAGAATAGGCCATCTTCATTTCTGTGTTATTTTAATCAGAGTAGTTAACTGACAGTGAAAATGAAGATGATCCAAACAAAGTTCCTAAAGGAAAAACATTGAATATTTTCACAAAGACATATTAAAACCAAGGCTTTCATTTATTCCATTACAAAGATGAACAATTTCTGCTAATTATCAAATATTCATATTCCAGAATGAAAGATTGCACTAGGTTGCAATTTCAGTAGATTCTTATACTTAAATGTTCCTAAACTGAGAATGTCTTTTGAATACTTCAATAACCATAAACAGTCAATGATACCAACTCTACAATCCAGAGGAATCTCTAGATATACCAAAGGATACTTATCTCACATACAAATATACATTAATGCTACCTTACTATCGAAAATTTACACGTGTGTGAAACCTGGACATTCAAATTTATGACTCCCACAAACACCGTGATTCTTCTCTCTTATACATACTAGATACGGTATTTCCTATTACACTGTATGGTACCATATATTTAACCATAAAAACCTCATGCAATATGTCTGAGTTACAGCTGCTTGGGGGAACATTATTGAATTTCCTGGCTTCTACGCACATAACTTCTCAACCATAAAGTTACATCTCTACCATTTTTGGTCCTAGTTTTCTTTTAAAGGAAATAAATAGGAACATAAGTTAGATATTTCAAAACACTAAGTTTTTTCCAACGCAAAACTACCTGAAAAACTCAAGCAAGGACTGAATAACTAGTCCTTGCTCCGCTTCTCTCAGAAACCACCTTTCTGTTTCTTTTGTAACGCACACAGCATATATAAGTTCTGACACAGCAGGCACAAGATCTGACATTTTAAAATGCAGCTAGTAGCTCCATGAGAATAACCCAAGTAAAAAACAAGATTTTTAAAGCACATCATAGTTTCAACTGATGGCTTAAAAAGTGCTAATAAAATTTAAAATGGATACCCTAAATTGTCTTAAGCTTCTGGTAATAACCTAGTTTAGATGGCCAACTGATGAGAATATTAGAAACCTGAAGCTATCTAGAACTGTTCTAACTATTATTCAAAAGCAGAACAAAAGTGTCAGTAGTTAAAATATTCCACTGTTGCTACAAAGCTATGATTATGGCAAAGGTTAAAGCAAACCTTGTTCTGAGAAGTTGTAGTCAGTCAAAATATCAAGTCCATAATGAACATTACTGGATTCACATGTAAAAAAAGAACTTCAACAAAGCAAATCTAAGTTTTACAAATTCCATATACTTTATCTTAAAAAATCCAGCATCCATATTGTAAAAAGTCAATATGGCCATTCAAGACCTGATACATTTTTTAGTATCACAAATACAAAATCAAAGAGACTAGAGTCAAGGTTTTCATCATCTACAATGTCAATTAACTTCCAACATCCTCAAACTTCATCAAGGGGATTTATTTAGGATAAAACTTTATCCCTCCATCAACAATAACTGATGGCTGTACAACATGATTAATGTAAATGATATCACTAAACTGTATACCTGAAAAATGCTGAATTGGCAAATGTTGTGTTTTATAGATAGACAGACAGACAAAACCAAATCTGCCATCAAGTTCATTCCAACTCATAGCAACACTATAAAATTTTTTTTTACAACAATTAAAAGAAAACCCGAGGTTCCGGCAAAATGGCGCTCTAGGCAGAAGCACCACGATGTCGCTCCATAGCAAAGATCCAAAAAACTAAGCCGAACAGAGAATACAACAATCCTGAAACCCTAAAACATCAAATGAAGAGATAAAGAACTCAGCCAAGCACCAAATGGAGTGAGAAAACTGACAGAGAATG